ATTAAGGCACCCAAGCACGGTGATAGGGCGTGTGTCGCCAATGGAATTGGCATCCTTACTCTTAGGCAAGAGTATGAGTTTGGCTTGCATAGCAGCACCTGGCCAACGGCCATCCTGCTGGACCCGCTCCATCAAGCACGCAAGATGTTGCAACGCAGGTTTAGGTAGGAGTTTGAATTCTTCAAGACTCCAACCGTCAGCTCCACGTGCCTTATTGTTGGGGAGAGTCTTAATAATGGAGATCCACTGATCAATGTCATGCCATTTGATTTCAATTTCGGGAGAGTCAATAGCAAGCTCATCAAGGATGTGATCAGCAGCATCCCAGTCTTCACTGGGCCAGTCATGGAACGAGTTGTCACGACTCCAAATCGGCTTCCAGTAATCATCAATGGCTGAGGTAAGGTTTTCAACTGTGTTGAGGACACGATTAAAGGAAAAGGTACCTGCAGTGGGAATGATCCCTTCGAGAAGCTGAGCATGCACAATGGAACCACGCACGTCTTTGAAAGAGTGAGGCCTCGATTTGGCCGCTGCAGCGTTGAGCCAAACACGCGCGCGTGTGACCCTGGTACCGCGCGCGCGCGGCGCGCGCGCGGCGCGCCCTTGCAAAAGCCGCTGCAGCGTTGAGCCAGTCGCGCGTGCGTCACGGTCAGCGCCCTGGGCGATGCCCTTTAAGTGGAAAGGCAATGCAAAGATCAACGTGGACACCAAACCGTCATCAGAGCTGCGCACTTCTTTTTTTTTCTGGTCGGGGGTGAAATCTCCTCGAGGGTCATCTGGCGTGCCTGTGTACCACAGGTTTGTCGCTCAGGAGTCTACCCCCCAGGGTGGGAACGACTGAAAGGAGTGGGCGGGCAAATCTCGAGCGAAGGTTTTGGGTTACCCGCCCACCCATCCCTGAGCCGAGATGCAATACGCAACTCTCTCACATGAACGCAACCGTGTACAGGTGAGAAACCTGAGATAAGGTTTCAAATTGGTTGTGCTCAAGCATGTTAAAAACCTTGCCTGTTTCTCAACATGACCCAAACGGTTCCAGCACACAGGCCGTTTAAAAACAAAGGGAGCGCATGGCCCTAAGACACTCGCCCCATATGGGATGGCTAACGGGCAGCATCGTGAAGGACGAGCATGCTAAGTTGCTCGGCCCGCTCACCGTGTTCGCTGTCACCCTTAAAAAAGACAAAGTTGTCGTTTCACGAAAACCCTCGTCTTTGAAAGAGTGAGGCCTCGATTTGGCCGCTGCAGCGTTGAGCCGAACACGCGCGCGTGTGACCCTGGTACCCGGACGCGCGCGCGCGCGCGCGGCGTGCGCGCGGCGCGCCCTTGCAAAAGCCGCTGCAGCGTTGAGCCAGTCGCGCGTGCGTCACGGTCAGCGCCCTGGGCGATGCCCTTTAAGTGGAAAGGCAATGCAAAGATCAACGTGGACACCAAACCGTCATCAGAGCTGCGCACTTCTTTTTTTTCTGGTCGGGGATAAAATCTCCTCGAGGGTCATCTGGCGTGCCTGTGTACCACAGGTTTGTCGCTCAGGAGTCTACCCCCGTGAGAGGAGCGACATCCAGGAAGGGTGTTTTGGAGAGACAGGAAATCCTGTCCTCTGCATGCCCTTGCACCGGACACTCCGTCTGGAGATTAAACCGGCCAGATGCCTCCACTTCTTGCCTCCTCGACGGAAGGTCAGCGGGGTTTGAGTAGGAACAGACCCGTTCGTACCCAAATGAACGAAGGCGACTGAACCATCTCGTGCAAAACACGGGTGAGGGCTTGCATTGTGGTCGATGCATTATCTATCCAAACCAGGACACGACGGTCCTTCAGAAGGCTAGAAAAGAGTAGTCTGACCCTCACGAAGACATACAACTCCACCTGCGAAATAATTTGGCTCATTCCGAAGTCCTTAGTCCAGAGCCTGACCAAGCTGTCCGGAATGTTTACTTGTCTTACCACACGATGCCCCCTGGGGTCGATCAGGATCATTCCTCCGAGAGCAACTCCGTCCTCCCAAGAACCGTCAGTAAAGACGACAAGCGGTCGGACATCCATGCTCAGGCAGTGCAAACGAGGGCCCATTAGACCCAGCATCCGGCAGGCGTAATTGCACAGGTCCTGCAATTGCTTGGAAGTGGCTGCGGTACTCTTGTCTGCCAACTGGGAAAATTCACGGGCCAAATGCTTGGGAGACTTGGTTGTAAAATATCCCAATGCGAAGTTCAAGTGGCCCTGTATCACAGAGGCTCAGCACGTGTGATAGCCCCCGCGGCCTTTATCTCCTTCAGCATGCTGACTATTGCTTCCACTCGTCCTTCCTTGCTGCACACCTCCAGCTGGCCCTGCGGGAAGCGCTCGAGGGAAAAGGTGACCCCTAAAGCAGTGAATGTCCGAGCGAAATCTACGGCCTTCTCCCCTTCCGCATGCGCCCAACCCAACAGCTGCAATACTGAAGAGAGGATCTTGGACGCTAGCCCGCAGCCAGAAGCCGGTTCCAAAATTGGAAAATCATCAAAGTAGTGACTGGACACAAAGTGGAAAAAGGTTATCAGAACATGCCACAGTGCCCGGGACACCCGTGTGAACCCGTACACTGACCCAGTTGCTCCAAATGGTGGCACCAAGCTGCGATAATAGCGCCACACACCCCGAATGGGAAAAGCCACAATAGCAAATCTTCCGTGCGCCGGACTGACTGCCAGTTGTTTGTAAGCTTGCTTCAGGTCACGCGTTCGTCCCATCCAAGGTTCTCGAGGCACTCCCGGCGGCAGACTAGCCTGCGCCTTCATGGTCGCCACTGCCATCATGCTCACAAAGTCCGTGTCCTGCAGCGAAGTTTGAAGGTCGATGTCCCAGAGCCTCCAAAAGTGCTTATTTAACTTTAAGGATTGTTTATGACAAAAAAATTAAGCAATGATTGTCTAATTAAGCATTGTAGAAACAGTGCTTAATTAAGCATTGTTGCTTCTGAGTTGTGCAACTTTCAATATATATGGAATGCGCTTTTTTTTCATAATTTCATTTTACACCGTTTTCTGTTTTGTATATTGCTAGCAAGAACCTCTGAAGCTCGCTGCCCTGCGCTATATACTTCACATGTCCAGTCTAGGCACCTTGTTGGCAGCAAGAAATCTCAGCAATGTCGCTTTGGAAACTGCTGCCATGGAAAACTTTCCTCCTCTTCGTCTGGCCAGCAATGCCAATGTGTGGCCAAACGACTCATCTCGATATGTCCAAGTGTGCGCAGGATTGGTTCTGGACCTAGCCAGCTCCAGAAGTAAGTGCCCTTTGGGCTTCACTCGAAACAAAATATCTTCCCCAAAGAAACTTTCCAAGGCGCGCATGAGCAACAGAAACTTCTGCGCTGCTCGTAGGAATTTGTCAGCGTCCCAGTTCGCCGCACTCAAGCAAGCGTACATAGCTTGCAAGTGCTTGCAGCCCTGCAGCATAGCTGACTCATGAGGTATGCTTGCGTCCATGTATTGAGTGGCCAGCTGCAAACAGCACGGCACCAAAGCTCTGCTCTCTCCTGCTTTGACTCGAAGCTTTGGAACTTTCTTCTTTCCCTTGACTTCGCGTCTCAACATGGTTGGGAGAAGCTTTGGCAACCTGTCTTGAACCTTGTTGTCTTTGTAGAACTGCTGAATATCACGAAACAGCTTGGCGCATCTGACGCGCATGGAAACTCCTGCGATCTTCTGCTGCTGAATGTAAAAAAGCAAGCAGCCATGCCAGTCAGCCGTCACCCCCAAGTCGCAGCAGTGAAGGAAATCCACCTTGCAGCTCTGAGTAGTGAAGCCAGGAACTGAAAAGAGAGCTGAAATCAGTTTTCCAGACTGCTGCTGCCTCAAGAAATCCATCGCCGAAATCAAAGGATACCTGAGCAGACGAAAGCCAGCACAAGAATTCTTAAGAGCAGGCTAGCCTGCTAGGGCTGCGTCATGCCTATACGAATGAACCACAAATTTTATAAGCCCTTATCTAACAATCTCAGACAAGACACTTCTCAAATGTTGCGTTGCTGAAATCTTTCAAGTCAGTCTTGGTGGCGTTGCAAAGCCAGCAGATATGCCCCTTGGCAGACCAGCTTGGAAAATCTAGTACCTCCTTGTACATTGACCAGTCTCCTCTCATCTCTGCCAGAGCTGCGCACACTCCCACTGGTTTGCCTGCCAACTTTTTTCTATAGGCATCACTCTTGTTGAATTCCTGCTGCGTGTGCCTCTGGTGAGGCATTTTGTCTACTAATAAGATCCTGAAGCTCCAAGCCAATGCCTCAAAAATGCACTCATATGTCTTTCCCTTAGCTCGCATCGCCTTCGGAAAAGCACACAAGGGCACTCTCAAGCCCTTTTCTCCAAACAAGCACAATGTAATGGTCTCCAGAGTCTGCGATCTGTCAGAATTGAATGGGACTCCATCGATCCATAGCCCCAAGAGCAGCACCTTATCATCCTTGGCCAAGTCGAAATTTGCTAAATGCTGCTCCAGGTCGGGCCGTTCAGCCAAGATTGCCCGTTGGTGCTCCAGCAAGACCCGAGGGTCATTCACCTTCAACAGCGCGTGAACCACTTCATGCGGCATCAGCATGCACAGCTTGGATTTCTCCTCTGCGTCCGTAGCCTCATTGAAGGCTGTGACTTGCAGCTCATACGGCGCAGGCCATTTTGTGTTTCGAAAACACTTTCGCAGCAAATTTCTGTAAGCATTCTTGCCTGGCGCCACCTGCAAATCTTGGATGTGCTGCGTTCCAGCCAAGGAAGCGTTGCCTAATACTCTGGCTGACCTTTGTCCAGATAAGTCATTGTTTAAAAAAATGTCAATCATGTCTGCTCGAAACCTTTTCTCCGGAGGAATGTCATTCACTTCCTCGCATGGCAGTGTCCTTTTGTTGTACATCTCCTCCAACAAGGAGGCTCTTCTGCCTTGCCCTACCAAACAAGTGCACACTTGAAAGTTATGGCGCTTTAGAGGCGAGCGCTTAAGAGATTTAGCTTTGCTTTATCTTATTTTGAACTGTGACTGCAGTGATTGTGGGCCAACTTCAAACTACAGCTTGAGCCAACCGGCCAAGAAAATATAAGAGACATGCAGACACATGCGCGAAGCATCTCAATGACTCGATCTGCTGCTTTTTCGTCCATCTCTAGGACAAGCCTGCAAACAAAATCCACAGGCGTGGCTCCTGTACTATATCTTTTTGAGGAGAGCAAACTCTTGCTTGTTTTGTAGATCAGCTTCACTGCTTTCTCGTGCATGCTTGCCTTCTCATTCAATTCCTTCAGCTGGGCAAGCAGATCTGGCACCTCCTGCTGCTTGTCGGTTGGAAAGGGAACGGCCAGCTGCGTCCTCACCTCTGACAAAAAGCCAGACAACTGCTGGTCAGCGTTCTCCAACTCTCCTAGCTTTTTGCCCCAGCTGTTATCCTTCAGGCCAGCGATCTCTGCTGTCAGGAGCTTTAAGTCCTCCAACAGCTTGCTGAGGCGAACCCTCGCAGCTTGCAGGCTCTTTGACTCAGACTTGGCCTCAGACAAAGACGCAGACATGCCATGCTCAGCTGCAGAAGAACTGGCCAACTCTGGTCGGCCCAGCAAGTCCAAAGCCATCTTTTGGCTTGCCTTGCCCTTCATGCCCGCAGCAGTGCTTGACATGCTGCTGCTTGTCCTTGTGCCCTCAGTGTTCTTCTTGCCCTTGGTGTAAACAAAAAGGTACTTGTGCAACTGCTTGAACTTTGAGTGGTCTTGCACCTGCCTCGAGTGGCCAAAGTTCTTCTCAGATTTGGAGAGGATCTCCTCCAAAATCTCATCCTTGTCATTTTCTGACAGGCCGGCTGTGTCAATATGCTCGATTTCGAAGATCCCTTGCCTCAGCCGCGTTGGCGCAATCCCAGAATGCTGCTAGCAAGCCATGAAACTGCAGAAGAGAAAAACAAAAGCCACTACTAAGCCAAACAACCTGGTGAAGAAGTTGGTGACCAAGGACTCAGTCTCGTCCTTAATGTTAGATGTCAGGGACTCCAGGCTGTGGACCCAGCTGCAATTCTTCACTCCGAATTCTTGCAGTTTGTCCAGAATCAACTTCTTCTCCTCAATGGTGCCCGCTTCGTACTCCTACCAAGGAGATCAAGCTGTCAGTTAAGTAGCTGGCCAAGAAGCCCACTACAAACTCAAACATGCATGCGGCGGTCCTGAACACCTTCTGTGCGTCATCCTTCTGGGAGTCACTGGTTTTCTTTGCCTTCACTTGGTATTGTAGCGAAGTGACAAGCGCGCTCACTGTGCCTCTGGCGTGGCCCAGCTGGCTTGGTGGGGCCCCAGACCCATCATGCTCCATGGGCGCCTGGCCATCTTCCCTTTTGGCAGCCTGGTCTGAGGCCGAGGCATCGCCAGCAGTCTCCAAAACAGGCTCCTTGACACGCTTCGGCTTTGCCTTGGCCGCTGTTCTCACTTCCTTTTTGACTTTCTTGCCAACTGAAGCTTTGGCAGCTGACTTTGCAGCCATAGCTTTGGCAGTCTTCCCCATTTTGGGAGCCATGATCCTTACCTGACCTAAGCTTGAGCCTTCTCAACATTCGACACCTAGAGAAACACTGCCGCGCGCGTGTCTTTATCTTAAACACTCTGGATTGATATTCAAACTATGCGCCCGAGCCTTTTTGTTTTGGCACACTCCAATGCCAAGCTCAGCCTCTGAAACCGTACATCCTTCTGAGATCTTCTAGTTCGTTTCTACCTGGCCCAAAATTATCTCCAGCATTGGGCAGGCTTTGCTGCAAACTACTCAGGAGACTTGGCGATGGTACAATGTTCTCAGGCAATCTGTACCAAGGCGTCCTGCTCTCCCAGCCTGACTGATGAAGGCTTACATGACAGATTGTTCCTGCCAAATTGCTCTAGTAGCTTAGCAGCACGGGATCCCCATCAGGCCATACCATGGCTGACAACTGTGAGATCTGGCCAAAACAAGAATGGCTGCAAACCATCGGCTCACAAGGGAGTGTCAAACAGCAAACTCAATCCTACCTGATTCAGACTTCATAGATTCATGTCAAATGTATAGCACTACTGTAATCCTTCAAAATGCAATGTATACACCAAACAAAAATAAACAACTATATCAAGTCACAACCCCATCCCGGGTTGCATGCACCCACAAAATATATTATATTACTCCCACACCCGGACAATAATTTTTAACAATCATTTTTTAACAAATTTTTAACTGTTAAAAATTTTGATTTTAAATGGAGTTTCCTTTTAAAATCAAAATTTTTAACAGTTAAAAATTTGTTAAAAAATGATTGTTAAAAATTTCTGTGTGTTGTTGATTTCCTAACCAATACCAAATGCAGTGATCATGGTGCGATCAATATCAAATCAGTGAAGCTGCAAGACCGAAGAAACTTGGCAAGTCACACCAAACAACAATGCACACACTTGACTGCAAGCTGAAAACCATCAATGGGCACACAGCCCCAATGTCTATTAGTGAAGGTGCCAGCCTCCTTCCAAGGAGGATGCCTCCTTCTCAGGAGGCTTGCCATGGCCATGCACACAGACCAAGTCAAGTCAAACCACAGTCTACCCACTGCAAGGCGCTTACAACCAGCAACATACTTGAACAGTGGCTACAAGTCTGATATTCTGAGGCCCTGGCTGCATGGCGAAGTCCACAAGGATAACATCTGAGTTAAAGGAATTCCTAGCACCTTGCAATGTGAATCAAAGATGCAGACATGCCAAAAAGACAAACAAATGCAGCTTTGATCGCAAGTCAATCTAAGACCATACCAATTAAGCCTCCTGCCAAGGAGGTAGTCCTTCTCAAAAAACAAATCCTCCCACCAGGGAGGCCTTTTGTCTGAGGCAGCAGCTGTCCAAGCACGCTCCTACACCCCAGACATGTTTGGCAAGATGCAAGAACCATGGCAACTTGACCAGGCAAACAAGTTTGAGCACATCTGGCATGCATTTTCCCATCACGCTCGAAGATTCCACGGTATTGTGATCTGATCTGGCCACTCAAGCATCTGCCTGGTCAGGACAAGCATCTTGCACAAGTATCAAAACCGTAAAAAAAAAAGCTGGCCTTGTTCTCCGACGGATCTGCTGCGGGCTTATTCTCGGGCTTCTTGAAAGTATCGCCTTCCTGCAGGGTAGATTCACACACAAAAAAAGACACTCCCAAAAAAAACATGGCAAATCAATGTGATCTCTCAAGGCAGTCCTTGGCCAGCCGGATGGCCTTTGCCACTGCGCTGGGATGGCCAGGCCCAACCCACCTTCCATTCACCTTCAAAGAATCGATCTGAGCCTCCAACCAAGCTTTTCGCTTCCGTCCCTTATTTTTTTTACCCTTCGCGGGCTCTTCCTCCCAGCCGTGGTCGCGCGCCCAAGCACCTGTCCCCCAGTAGGATCTTTGCCAGCTTTCAAACGCATCCTGCTGAGTGGCCACCACCGCCGGCTGCTCATTCTTCTCATTCTTTTCATTCTCATTCTTTTCATTCTCATTCTTTTCATTCTCATTCTTCTCATTCTCATTCTTCTCATTCTCATTCTTTTCTTCTTGCTGGCGCTCCTTTCCACCAGCACGCCAAGGGTGCAGAGTTGCCAGCTCTTTGAAATCCTCTGCGGATTTCCCAAGCACTTTTGCTTTCTCCTGAGCTTGGTCCCTTCCTTGGGCCTCCTGCAAAGCCCACTTCGCATAGTAGGATTTTGTCTCCAAAGGGACATCGGCACTTTTCTCCATCTTAATGCTGGCGCTCAAAAGCTCGGCTGCCTTTTTCTCCTTCACTGCCCACTGGTACCCTGCCCGGGCCGCATCACCTTCCTCCGCAGGCACCTCTTGCTGCTTCTTCCAAGCAGCGGTCTCTTCCTCACTGCTGGCCACCTCTTCGATGACGACTTTTTCCATCTCGTCCGAATCTTCGTGCTCTTCCTCCTCCATCTGGGCCCACTCCTCTGTGAGGTGCCTCTGGTAAACCGCATCACTGAATCCGCTCTGACGCCAGGACTGCGGCGACCAACATTCTTCACTCACTCCTTTCTTCCACATTGCCAAGGATGGCTGTTGGTGCATGTAGTACTGGCTGCACAACAAATTCGCGCATAGCGATCCTCTGAGATACGATTTCGTCTTGCAAGCCTTGCAAAACCTGAGGTCTAGCAAGGCCTCGTTGCCCCAATCAGACCCCTTCCAAGCCCGGATCGGGCCTTTCCACTCTTTGCCATAGCCGCTCTTGCTACTGCCAGCCATGATTATGCAAGCTGCCTGACTGTGACCATATCATGCAATCATGTGCTGACATGCCTGTCATCATAGCCACTTGAGCTCAAACATATCTGCCAACAAGCGCACATTTGTCATGCAAGCAACATGGCCAAAACATCTCAGAACAAAGCAATGAACAAAGAGCTCGTGCGCAACCCTGTCTCCTCCAAGGAGACTTTGGGCCGGCAGATGCTGGCATCATCACCTGCAGACTAAGTCAGGGCACGCATGCATGCGCGGCAACTGCACTTCAACATTGAATTCCTCCTGCCAAGGAGGATGGCCTTCACAAAGAAACTTCCTGAAGGATCAGTCCTGGCCATGCACAAGAAGATCTGGCAACCTTCGACGCGGCGCGGCCTGCACAAAAGAGATCAAGCTATACCCTCCTGCCAAGGAGGCCTGCACCATGCACAAGGCACAAGTGACATCAACAACTGCATATACATGCATGCTTGCCAGCAAAGTCCTGAAAGGGTGCGCACATAAAAATGGCTGCGGTCCAAACGCTCATGCAACGCACAAACACACAAGGTCATGCAACTCAACAAACCCCAAAAAATCTTGCAAACAATTGATGCTGCTCAAAACGTCATGCAAATCCAAAAACGGCATGGTCTGGGGCAGGCCTTTTTAAGCGATCCAGTTGGTTTGTTCAAATGCAATATGTTCACTCCAAATTTGGCACAGCGTCCTTCTCGTCCCTTAGCGTGTCCTTGATTTTTTCAAGGCACTGAACCCAGCACTCCGTGATGCTGCTGTGCTTCGACCAACTGTGCTGCCCCTTGCAGATTTCTGGTCTTTTTATATAAAAGGCCTTGCCTCGCATGAGAACATCTATACTCACACTAGTGCCAAGGATCAGAGCCTTCACGGTGTAGGAGTGCAGGCCTGAGCATCCGGGAGGCGGCAGCGCCTCCTGCGGCATACCAGCTAGAGGGTACCCGTTCCAAGACTCCAGCTCCAGAGGCGCGGCTGCTAGCAACTCCTGGTTGCTCTCGCCGGACTCGCTGGATCCCACACCTCTGCCTCCTTTCCAGCAGGCTCTGCGGCTCGCTTCGCCTTCTTCTTGGCCTTTCCGAAGGCGGCCTTGCCGCGCTTGGAGAACTTGAAAGCCGGCGCGCTTTTGCGACTCGACAGCCATAGATTCGGGACTTGGCTCTCAAATGGCTCTTCGTCTGGGAAGTGAACCATGCAAAACCCAGCTGCTCCTTCCTTCAACTCGCCATGAATGCACTTGCCTCCTTCCAAGGCTTTGACATAGCAGCCCTGGCTGGGGTCAAAGTGCGCTTTTGCCAAAGGGATTGCAGCAGCTGCCTGGAGATCCTCTTCCTCCGAGTCCGAGTCAACCAAAACATCTGAATCTGAGTCCACCTGGTCTGCCTCTCCCACGTCAGAGGCCTCTGCAGCTGCCTCATCGTCAACTGATGCATTACTGGCAGTGGCTGGAAGACCATACATGCTGAAAACATCGCACGAAGCTGTAGCCTTCCTTTTGAAACGGTATCTTCTGCTTGGCTTAAAGGGTGCAGGGTCACCTGCAGGAAGAGCCTGTGCTGCGCCAGGTGTCTCGACGGGCTCGCGTTCTTTCATGGGATCCATGGCTTTCTGCGGAGTGCCTTGCCCTGTAAGCTGCTTGAGCTTCGACACAAGCCTCCACACACTGGGCGTGAGCTTCTTCCCGGAACTGCTGGACTGCAGCTTGCTCCTCAAATGCTTGAAGCAAGCAGATATGTCCCTTGCCACTGCGCGAGCATCCTTGCCACTGACGTCATAAGATCTGACCAAGCCGTCCCTCAGCACAGACTCTGAAGGCCGAACTGTCTCATCCATGATGTCTGCCAGCAAGCCCTCATACTGTGCTATAACCTCCTCCACATCCTTTCTGAAAGCTGCCGGGTCCAGGTCTTTGAAGTGAGATCTGAAGCACTTCACCAAGTCTTTGGCACTAGCCGTGTTTCTAGCTTGAGGAGGCGGCATGTTTGCAGCCATGCAAGGGCTCGGTCCAACTGCGTCTGCTGCCTTTACGCAGGCACATGCACGCCGCTACACATACTCAAAAA